GGAAAGAAAGAATAGTGATGGATACATACGATTTGGGAATGAATTAGTTTAATGCAAAAACTCTCCTTGTCCCGTTGTTGCGTATTAATTGGTCCCAAAATTTCTATTCAAATGCCTCGGGTTAATATATCCCATTCTTATGACTGGGGTTAAGAGTGTGGTGCATGATACTTGTCCGAGTTCTATATATTGCCTTGGTTATAGACCAGATCGGTTGAAAAATAAAGCCTTGGCTTGATTTTAAAGGGATTAAATTTTGGTGGTGGTGCATGCTATATGGTTCAGAATCGTTTATACAGATCTCTAGTCTTCCATAATTTTGGTTCTGACCTTCTAAAAACCCATTCTAAGTGATCAAAGTGTATGCTTATTGTCAGGGAAAAACGGTGGTGCATGATATTTTGGTCCTTGATTCTCTACTTGAATGCCTTAGTTAAAACGTAAAAACTCATTGGGAAACTTGAGAATGTGAAAGAGTGTGGTGCATGATACTTGGTCCTCGATATTTCCATATAAATGCCTCGGTTAAAAAACTCATTGGGAAACTTGAGAATGTGAAAGAGTGTGGTGCATGATACTTGGTCCTCGATATTTCCATATAAATGCCTCGGTTAAAAAACTCATGATAAGCTTATTGTGACAGAGAGTGGTGCATGATACTTGGTCCCTGATATGTCCGTATAAATGTCTCGGTTAAAAAACTCATGATAAGCTTATTATGACAGTGTGGTGCATGATACTTGGTCCCAGAATCCCTAGTCCCATACTGTTCTAATAATGTCCTTGGTTAAAAACCACAGTGAAAGCTAGATTCTAATAAGCTTGTGTGCATGATATACTATGCTAGGTCTCAAATTCCCTATTCAGAATGCCTTGGTCAAAACTTGAAACCCCATTGGAAGCTAATATTACTAAGCTTAGGAACATGAAGGAGTGTGATCATAATAAGCGTATATGCTGCATGATACTTGGTTAGGGGTTGTTCATAGATGCCTCAACTAAAACCCCATTGTAAGCTGATCATAATAAGCGTATGATTGGGACAGAGTGTGGTGCATGATACTTGGTCTTAGTCCCAAACTGTTCAAAATTTTGCTTGCTTAAAACCCACACTGCAGGCTAATTTCAATAGTCAATAAGTTCATAATTGGAAAAAGTATGGTGCATGATAGTCTATGTCCCAGATTCTATAGTCAAATGCCTCGGTTAAAAAGGTCAACGACCATTGAAAAGCCAACTTTATAAGCTTGGGAATGTGAAAGAGTGTGGTGCATGATATCCCTGTCAATACAAATGCTTCTTAAAGCCTCAGTTGATACTGTTGCATAACGCTTTGTTTATACAAAAGTGGCGACTCAGTTTCAAAACACAGAATATAAGTTCGTTAAGAGTTATGAATGGGATAGTGTAGATGGTGATGCATGATGTATTTGGCCCAAAAGAATTTAAACAATTGCCTCTGCTCATCAAGAAGACAAAGATCTAATGAATGGGAAAAAGATGCATGATACTCTGTTCCAACTGTCTATAAAAAATGCCTATGTTCGGTAATATTATAATCTGATGCATAAACCATCATACGCTTATGATTGTAAGTTAGAGTGTGGTGCATGATACTTGATCCGAGTCCCATATTGTTCAAAGTACATATTGCCTTGGTTCAAACCAGATCGGTTGAGAAATAAAGCCTTGGCTCGGTTATGCAATATGGTCTGGGATCGATTATATAAATAACTTGTCCTAGTTTTCCATTATAATTGGTCCCTAAAAAAACCCATTCTAAGTTACCAATTGTAATAGGATTCATCTCTTTTGTTTTCGATTGAGGATTGATCATATTCAGTCCCAAATCGGTGTACAAATGCCTCGGCTCGGGAAGAAAAAAAAAGAGGGCATAAGGTTTGGTCCACAATCGTTTGATACAAAATCCTTCCTTGTCCCATTGTTGCGTTATAATTGGTCCCTTCTATTCCGATGCCTCGGTTAATTACTCCCATTGTAAGGTTATTACAAATTAGCTTTTCATTGGGGGTCAGTGTGTTCCTGTGTGGTGCATGATACTTGGTCTGAGTCCCATATTGTTCTATATATTGCCTTGGCTAATAACCAGATCGGTTTAAAACTAAAGCCTTGGCTTAGTTACAAACATGAGGGAAATTTTGGTGGTGGTGCATGATATTTCGTCCGAAATCGTCTATACAGATCTCTTGTCCCAGTCTTCCATAATAATTGGTCCCGACTATTCAAAAAACCCCATTTAAGTTATCAAAGTGTAAGCTTATTGTCGGGAAAAGACTGTGGTGCATGATACTTTGGTTCCTGAAGGTCTTTTTAAATGCCTTGATTAAAAATTCAAAACCCATTGGAAGCTTATCCTTACAAGCTTGGGATGTGAGAGGGTGTGGTTCATGATACTTGGTCCTGGATTGTCCATCTATACAAATGCCTCGGTTAGAAACTCATCATAAGTTTATGATTGGGACAGAGCGTGGTGCATGATAATTGGTCTTAATCCTGGTTGTTCAAAGAATTTCCTTGGTTTAAAACCACATTGCAAGCTAAATTCAATAAGCTTTTATAAATGAAAAAGAGTGTGGTATATGATACTTGGTCCCCGGTTTTCTATACAAATGCCTCAATTAAAACCCCATTGTAAGCTATCATAATAAACTTGTGATAGGGACAGAGTGAGGTGCATGATACTTGGTCCTAGTCCCAGATCGTTCAAACATTTTCCTTGGTTAAAAACCAGACTGCAAGCTAATTTCAATAGTTAGTACGTTCATACATGGGGAAAGTACGGTGCATGATACTCTAGGTCTCGGATTCTCTTGTCAAATGCCTCGCTTAGAAAGGTCAAAGCTCATCTTGGTAAACTTGGGAATGTGATGCATGATATACATGTCAATACAAATGCCTCGTAAACCCCCGTTGTAAGCTAATCATATATAGTAAGCTTATGAACGTTAACCGCTGTGGTGCGTGAAACTTGCTTCCGGATTGTCTCTATTCAAATGCCTCGGTTAAAACAATAAGTCAGTCGGTTAATACTGTTGCATAACACTTTGTTTATACAAAAGTCACAACTCAGTTTCAAAACATATAATATAGGTTCATTAAGAGCTTATGAATGGGAAAGTGTAGATGGCAAGGCATGATATTTGGCCCAGAAAAATTTAAACAACTGCCCCAGCTCATCAAGAGGACAATAAGAGCTAATGAATGGGGAAAAGATGCATGATACTCTGTTCCAAGTGTCTAGAAAAATGCCTCTGTCCGGTTAACAAATCCATATTTTCAAGCTTATTAATGAAACAAGGGTAGATTGGTGGTGCATGATACTTAGTACCGAACTTTTTATAAGCTCATTCAGGTTTATGAGTGGTAGGGAATATGTCTCAGTCAAAACCCATTGTAAAGCTAATCTTAGTAAGCTTGGGAATGGGAAAGAGTGTGGTGCATAATGATACTTGGTTCTGGATTATCTATACAAATGCCTCGGTTAAGCTAGTCATAATAAGCTTATAAATGTGAAAGAGTATGGTGCTTAAAAGTTAAAACCCATTGTAAGCTAATTATATTAAACTTATGAATGGGAACTGATGTGGGTGCGTAAAACTTGCCTCTGGATTGTCTAATCAAGTGCCTCGGTTAAAACGCATTGTAAACCAACAAGTTAATGTTGTTCCATGAGAACACTTTGTCCTAAATTGTTTGTACAAAGGTGGAAACTCAGTTATAAAACCCATTACAAGTTTTTCAGGAGCTTATATAAGAATGGGAAAGTATTGATGGTGATGCATGATAATTGGTCCCAAAAAGTTTATACAATTGCCTCAGGTCATAAAGAGCTACTGAATAGGAAAAAGATGTATGGTACTCTGTTCCAGATGTCTGTAAAAATGCCTCTATTTGGTTGAAAAGTCCATATTGTCAAGCTTATTAATGGAAAAAGGGTGGATGGTGGTTTATGATACAAACTTGATCCCGAATTTTCTACATGTCTCAGGTTCTCGGCTAACTAAAAACCTTATCATTTTAGGTTTATGAGTGGTGGTGCATGACTGTCTTGATTTTTCAAATGCCTTGACTCGGCTATAAAAGTCGTAATACTCATGGTGGTGCATGATTGGAAATATGTCTTCTGTTCATTTATACAAATGCCTCAGAGTCGGTAAAAATTCGTAGTAAGCCAAGTGAAGATTAATAATGAGAAAAGGGTTGATGGTGTTGGATTATAAAGGGTACTTTATAAGTAATTGAAGGCTTGTGAAGCTGGTGAAATGGTTAAGGTGGTGAGCATATATAAATAAAGAATCATGTTCTTTGAGTACACAAGGTAATGAGCGAGGAAAGGGTTTCAACCAATTCATATGGTAGAATTCAAAACGGTCTTAAATCTAGATGCTGTCAAGAAGGTGAGATGGTGATGTTTATGTCTCTTTAGCCGAGTCACGGCTTTTGATAAAAAAAATTGCATGCCACTTTCATATTTTGAAAAAAGAGATTGATGTTGTAAACAAGGTGTTGATACTTCATCCCTCGACATCTGTGTGTTCAATCTTACAACAAAGATCTTCAAATGCTTCCCTAGTCTCTCCGACTTAAACATCAAGGATGCTCAGTGGTTCATTCCCTCTTGATTCTTGTGATCCTCATGGTTTCTCCCTGCGCCTTACTCTGTTTCGGTCTACTGCAAGTTCTTATGTTTGTTGACACATCTCTAGACTCTACTTTGTTATGAGCTTGGTGTCGGCAACTCTTCAAGACATTCAAATAAGTGGTGTATGGATTGTGTTGCAAAAAGCTGCAGAAACATACCAAATCACAACTCACAACTCAAGTATATTCAGAAAAAAAATAAAAAAAATTGTAAAAATTGTGTAATCAAAGTCAAACCAAACAGAATAAACCAAATGAACCAGCATCAAACCAAAATATCGCATGATTCAATACGGTTTGATTTTTGTTTACTTTCGGTTACAATGGTGGAAAAGCTAAAGGAAGAGGAGGAGGAATCAGAAACAAGCATCCGATTCCGATCGAGAAATACACAAGAATATAATTAAAAATAGGGTTTTGAATTGACGCCCAAAAATAAAAAAAATCAATCGGGAGGCGAAGAAAATGGAAGGATGGGATCCGAACACGAAGTCGACGTTAACGCGGATACCGCTTCTGACGACCAAGGCGGGTCCAAGAGACGGCGCGGCATGGACACAGAGGCTGAAAGAGGAGTACAAGTCTCTGATTGCGTATACCCAAATGAACAAGTCCAACGACAATGACTGGTTCCGTATCTCTGCTTCCAATCCTGAAGGTACCCGTTGGACTGGCAAGTGTTGGTATGTTCACAACCTTCTCAAATACGAATTCGATCTCCAGTTCGATATTCCTATTACCTACCCAGCCACTGCTCCTGAGCTTGAGCTGCCCGAAATTGACGGCAAGACCCAGAAGGTAGAAAAAGGCTTTCTCTTTCGTTTTGAGGTCGTTTCTACTCATCAATCCGATTTGTCTTTGTTAACGTTTATGTTTTGTGTATAGATGTATCGAGGTGGGAAGATATGTCTGACTGTGCATTTCAAGCCGCTCTGGGCCAAAAACTGGTAATTTTTTCATGCTTTCTGGTTGCATAGACCTTGTAAGAGAAGCATGTAGCGGTGTTTTAGATCAGCTCTATGAAAGTATCGCACTTCTAAGATGTTTATTGGATTAGTTTGTAGGACAGAAAACTCGAGTGCAAAGCTGTTTTTGTGAGGTCTAAATGACTATGGACATCTAATTTAACTTCAAATTCTATATGATTTTCGTGTTACTGTTCCCTTGTTAAACACTGACCTTGGGTTAAACACATTATGCATTCCAATTCTATCGCCACTACGAGCACCTACTCGTAAACTTAGCAATGATGTATGACTTTTGTTTATGCAGTCCTCGGTTTGGTATAGCGCATGCACTTTGTTTGGGACTTGCTCCATGGCTTGCTGCAGAGATTCCAATTCTTGTGGACTCCGGCATGATTAAGCACAAAGATGACGCAGCCTCATCTGCAGAATCTTAATCTATGTAACCTGTCTTTTCGATCTCAAGAATGTTGAGGTGTTGTTTATCAGTTATAGCTGAACTCAGAAATGACTGAGGTGGATGCGTCTGCGTCTGCCCTTTAAACACTTACATGAAAACCGAATAAAGATTAAAGCTATTGCAATGTTTTTCGTTATTTGCTTGCACCACTTGATAATATATGACGTTTCTTGAGAAAATGTTGGTAGATTCATTTCAAAATGATGAGTTTCATTTGCACAAATGGTTTCAGGCATTGTTCAGTTTTATGTGATGCGGTCACCTCAGGTTTGATTAGCTGTAATGAGTTATGACAAGGCCAATTGTGTAGTTAGTAAGTATACTTATGCTGCTCAAGATTTCGTTCTTTGTAGGCCTTAGGCTTCTTAATCTCGAACTAGGAATTGAGTATATGGGCTTTACTGATCTATAAAAGAACCAATGTAGAAAGTAGAAACATTTAGAGTCTGCATACTTGGAATTCAATTTTCCTGAAAATGTGCTTGTCCATCTCTCAGTATGCTTGCGTTATGCTTTTTTTGGTAAAGCTTGTCGATGTATCAACATGTATGTTGGTGATTTTGAGCTCAAACGAACATGTCTGTTAATTATCCACAAATTTATTTTAAAAAGCTTAACTCAACCCTCATGTATTTTTGTCAACACAAGTACTGTATTTAATAGTTTTTGGGAGTTTCTTGTAGAATGAGGCTGTTCTTAGGGCGTGTGGTGAGTCGGATGCACCAAACCCGCCAGGAGCTAGCAACGCAAAAAGCTGTAACAGTGCTGTGAAAAACGAGTAAGGCGGAGGAGAAGCTAGAAACATGGTCGTAGTTTAGGAATCGTAGATCATCAAGTCTCTGTCTTTTCCTGATTTACAAAAAATAATAATATTTGAACCTTGTGTTGAGTTACTGTTTTTTTACATGTTGATTCTGAAACGGGTTTAGCAAAAGAAGAAGCACCCTCCATTAATGTGAGTAGGATCACTCAACCATGCTTCAACACCAAATCAAAACATAGGATTTGAATGTATTCCTTTTTATTGCTTTGTCATCAACAAATTTGTTATAGACTACACTGTGGGTTCAAAACCAGAATTTGTCGAAGTTAGTTGCAGCGCAAACGAATTATACATTTGGGTTTAGCTACTAGATGTGTGACATTTCTGAAAATTACTTAAATCTCTCTTTTGTTTATGTTTTCTACATAATTATAAGATAAATACAAATAACAGGTTCAGCCTTATCTCCAAATCTTGTTCGAAAGCTAAAATTATATTTCAACCATGTTATATGAAGTAATTTTTATTGAATACAACTATTTTTATAAAGTTAAAATTTCAACTTTTAAAGTAGCAATGTTTTGTAGAAATAAATTTGGAACAAAACAATAAGGAAAAAATTATAAACTTAATACAAAGTAATAAAATTAATAATAAACAAACAATGATAATTTAGAAAGAAAAAAAAAAAAAGCAGAACCTGGGCAAAGTCGGATCGGTGTTGTAAAGAAAGAAGCAAAGGCCGTCCTTAGCCTTTCCATTCTATTGCTCCTTCACTCACTCTCGATCTCAGCCGCGAAACAAAAAGCTTTCTTCTCTTCTCTTCCAAAGGCAAATCGACAATTATAAAAGTTTCTCCGCCAAATCTCTCCAAAACCCTTTCTCTCGAACTCGGTTGTTTCTTCTTCTACTGCGTTCGTCTTCATCTTCTTACGAACTCGGTAGTTTCTTCCATCCTGCCATGGCCGACGGCAAGTTCGATCTCCCTGACGATCTCATCCTTTCTAAATCTTCCGATCAGTTGAAAGGTACTTCCCGCCTCTCTATCCTCGTCTTCCTTCGTCTTCTTCTTTTGGATTTCGTAAATTTGAATTTCTATCTCTCTCTGTACCAATTGAATGCGGAGAAACAAATGTTATCGTTTGGTTTATGGATCTGAATTGGCTAGGATGCGGCAGCCCTGTATCTCAAATCAGATTTATCACAAATTGACCTAACTCTGATTAGGGTTGTATTGTACGATTTCAATTTATCTTTATCAATCCGCTTTTAGATGCATTACCAACTTCATGTTGAGAGACGTAATTCTTCTTTTGTTGCCGATTCCTGACTTTGGGATCTGGAATTACGAAGCGATGATTTGTTCTTGCCTCTGATTCCTGCACTTTTGGGTTATCTATTTGACTTCCTTCAGCTATTGACACAAGAGCTTGTATTTGTTTTTTTCTGCAGAATTAGCCTCCTCAGATAACAGCATTCCTTTGTCTCCCCAGTGGCTTTACACGAAGTCAAACGATAACAAGATGGTAATACCAACAAAGATGCTATCCTGTTTTGATCTCCTCATAAGATCTTTGTTAGATGCTATGCTTCGTATCTAGAAAATATCAAGTTTTAGATGAGTTTTGCTGTTTCTCTCTAGCATTTTCCATTGTCCATTCATCTTATGTTGTTGCTCTGTGGCAGGATGTTCGATCTCCTACTCCTGTGCCCACGGGAAATCCAAGCGACCCAAATCTCAAGGATGCATGGCGCTTGGATGCCCCCGAAGACAAAAAGGACTGGAGGAAAATTGTCCCTGAGAACGAAACTAGTCGCAGATGGCGTGAAGAGGAAAGAGAAACTGGTTTACTCGGTGTCAGGAAGACCGATCGCAGAAAAACAGAACGCCGCATCGACAATGTCTCAAGCAGAGAAACTGCTGACACTAAAATTACTCCTTCTTCTGATAGGTGGCATGATGTTAGTTCTCGTGCTGCTGCACATGAACCTCGGCGCGACAACAAATGGTCATCTCGCTGGGGTCCTGATGACAAAGAGAAAGAAACCCGTATCGAGAAGGTAGATAACAACAAGGACAAGGAAGCGCCTCCTAGTGATAGTCAATCTGTGGTTAGCACCATCCGTGCAACTTCTGAACGGGACTCTGACCCTCGTGACAAATGGAGGCCACGTCATAGGTTGGAATCCCAGGCTGGTGGGCCGACTTCTTATCGCGCTGCACCTGGGTTTGGACTTGATAGAGGGCGAGCCGACGGCCCAAATTTAGGGTTCACTGTAGGCCGAGGAAGGGCATCTGC